TGCTTGATATACAATGTTGCTGGTTTTCGCATCAGGAGCAAAAATATATAAATTTTTTCCAGTTCCGACTCTTGAACACGCCACGTAAAGTTGACCATGGGAAAAGCAAGGAGTCTCTAGATTAATACCAGCAACCTTAAGTGATTGTCCTTGAGCCTTATTGATGGACATCGCGAAGGCAAGACGCACTGGAAACTGAAGACGCTTGAACTCAAACGGCATATCAGTAGGAATCATGGATATTCGTGGTATGAAGACGTCTTCACCCTTTGCGCAGCCTGTCAGGATGGTTGCTTCGATAACATGAGGCATCAGACTTTTTACACACAGTCTTGTACCATTGCATAGCCTTGGAGCATCCAAGTTCCTCAGAAGCATAATGGAAGAACCAACTTTGAGCAGCAAGTTGTGTGACGGCATCCCAGACGGCTCGAGAGAATTGAGAAATTCAGTTGGATACTGAATCGCCTCGTGGACATCAGTAACTGTATCACCCGACTTGTAAGATGTAGTTTCTCCGGGGAGCTGTTGTTGGATCTGTAGGTTGATGGCATTCACGCTGTTATTTTTAGGGGCAAGAATAGCACGTTCACATAGCCATTTGTGATCGTTGAAATGACTCCGGATGTTCGGAAATACACTGCTCTTCATTACTTCAATCGATTCGACGACATTGCAAAAAGTATCCGGAATATGGATGAGCCCAGTGATTCGATCAGCTGGTGCTTTTCCATCTCCAAGAATGAGCAGTTGTTGAGCGAAACGGCCAGCAGACGCATCACCTTGCAAATGAACCCGCATGTTGGTTTTGAGGCCCAGCGGTATAACATGTTTCCATAGGGGTGACGATTTTAAACACGCTTTAATCTCATCAGCCATTGTTCCCTTTGGAATAACAGGCAGCGTTTGACGAAAATCACCCGCAAGGAGTACAACAACTCCGCCCATATGTTTCCCATTGCCACGAAGATCTTGAAGAGTACGATCCAAGGCCTTTAATGCTTGTCTGTGTGACATTGTGCACTCGTCCCACACAATAAGTTCACACTCTTGTAGAACCTTGGCTTCCCAGTTCCTTTGCTGATGTTGCAGAGAGGAGCTTCACAATGTGTAAGGTTGAGAGGCAGCTTTAGTGTTGAATTGCAATTTTCTCTACCATTGTACAGAGCATTATCAACCATTCTGATTCTTGAATATCTAACCACTTTATTAGTTAACTAAGAATTATATATACGCACAGAAAAACATCACCTATTTATATTGAAGAAAACCAAAATTTTCGAGTAGGGGGGGGGAGAATAATACTCCTCCACTCCATTTTTCCTCTCCATCCCTCCGCTGTCCAAACACCCCCGCTGAGTTATCGAGAAAACAATTTCACTTCAGACTTCTCCGATGAGACTCACTGTAGCGGGCCAACGATCGGATTACTAAGTATCCCAGAGATAAAAGTTTTATATTGAAAAGCAGCCCTTGACCAAGGGCAGTGCGAAGATATAAAAGCAAGCTGCAAGTACCTCAGAAATCGGAGAACATAAAAATCCGAAAATCTTTTCACCATTTTTTGAAAACTGGGCGGAAACTCCCCCCCCCTTCGGTCTCGCCGCGCCCGTCTTGCCCTTCCCCTGGACCCAAGGGTGTGCCATGCAAATTTTGGCT